TGTCTTGATGATGTAATGCAGAAATTGTACGACGACTCTAGTCTACATATGCCACTTCGTTCGTCTTGTACGGCGACGAAACACCTCCAAAGCTCATCTGGAACAAATATGATCCTACCCGCAAAGGCAGGGGGTGAAAAAGAGATAATCTTTGGAAAAGGGGAATCATCCCCCACTCCAGATCATTTCTTAGATAGTAATTCGGATGAAGAAAAACCCGGGCGACACTTCTCTCGGTATAGTTCTCAAGCGAATGATTATATGATGAGTCGATGCTATGACCTTTCGCTTGGTGAAGGCCTTTATTTTGGTCAAGATATTAGGGTTCCACCCCGTTCTACCTATGTACCAAAAGGAAAACCAGATAATTACTACAGTCGTGATAGAGGTCTGGGTTATGCTTCATCCGAGGACGATTATGGCCAACAGATTATTAACCAATTAATAGACAGGAGTGGATATTCATCCGATACTTCAAATTGGGATTCTGACGTGAGCATTGGTGAAAGATTCAAATCCCTAATGTCGAACATGGCGACGGTTGACCCTTCCACAACAGAAGAAGACGATCAGTTACCTGTTTGGGAAGATCCATGGATGCATTACATGAATATCCAATACGGTGATCGATTTGAGCAAAGAGAACCTCCTACCGAGGATAAAGTGGTTCAAGTTAATATGGGTGACGAAAATAATCCGAAGCCTATATTTATCAGCGGTGATCTCCCGCCAGACGAAAAAGAGGAATTAATTGCCCTCGTTAAAGAGTATATCGACGTTTTCGCATGGAACTACGAAGATATGCCAGGACTCGACCCAAATGTAGCAATGCATACCCTTAACATAAAATCGGATGCTAAACCTGTCAAGCAACAACAAAGACGGTTTCGTCCGCAAATTATGGAGGCAATAGAAGCTGAAGTTAAGAAGCTAATTGACTCGGGTTTTGTCAGAGAGGAACAACATCCTGAATGGTTGGCCAATATCGTTCCAGTCCTCAAAAAGAACGGAAAAATCAGAATCTGTATTGACTTCAGAGATCTGAATACAGCATGCCCCAAGGATGATTTTCCCCTACCGATTACGGACGTCATTATCGACAACACATGCGGGTTTGAAAGAATGTCGTTCATGGATGGATTTTCTGGGTATAATCAAATCAAGATGCATCCGGATGATGAAAAGCATACAGCTTTCAGAACACCTCTTGGCGTCTTTTGTTATACCGTTATGCCTTTCGGTTTGAAGAACGCCGGTGCTACGTATCAACGGGCGATGACGAAGATCTTTCAAGAACACCTTAGGAAGACAGTCGAATGCTACGTGATCCCGATAAGGTGAAAGCGATAAACGAACTGCAGCCTCCGAGAAATCTTAAAGAACTCAGAGGATTGCAAGGTCGATTGGCATATATCCGTCGGTTTATATCGAACTTGTCCGGAAAATGTCAACCGTTTTCCAAACTCGCAAAGAAAGGCGTGTCGTTCATTTGGGATGAAGCATGTCAGAAGGCATTCGAAGATATTAAGAAATATCTGGCGAATCCACCTATTCTCGTTGCACCAAAATCAGGCAAACCGTTTTTGATTTATGTCAAAGCGACGAGCCATTCATTAAGTGCGTTACTTGCACAAGACGACAATAACGGTCACGAACAAGCGGTATATTATCTAAGTCGTACACTGGTAGGAGCTGAATCTCGCTATCCAATGATCGAGAAAGAATGTCTCGCCTTGGTATTCGCAATCCAGAAAATGTGACATTATTTAGTTGGACAGACGATCTACGTCATTTCCAACATAAATCTCGTCCGAGTATTCATGACCCAACCGGCTTCCATGGATTGGTGTTTGGCCAGATGGGCTTTACTCTTATCGCAATATGACTTGTACTTCAAGCAGCAGAAATCTATTAAAGGACGAGCTATTTGTGATCTTCTGGCAGAAAACCCTACAAAGGATGTAGTCGAATTGTACGACGACCTGCCAGATGAAACTCACGAAGTTAATACCACCTCACATCAACAGGTGTGGCAATTGTACTTCGATGGGGCTTCCCGATCAACTAACGTGGCAAGTGCACCCGGATGTTCTAAAATCTCCTCAGGAGTGGGGGTCGTTTTAGTTTCCCCGGAAAAGCACGTCTTGCCTAGAGCATATTCACTGACTGAACCATGCTCTAATAATGTAGCCGAATACAATGCGTTAATAATCGGACTTAATTTCGCCAAAGAGCTAGGGGTCGAATACCTTGAGGCTTTTGGAGATTCTCAACTGGTGGTTAATCAAATACGAGGAGAGTATGAAGTCAGAAATCGAGACCTGATTCCATACCACCAGGTGGCCATCGAAATGGCAAGCTCGTTTGAAGAATTTTTCATCGAGTACGTTCCGCGTCTCCAAAATGCATACGCGGACGCATTGGCAGCATTGTCAGTATCCTTGGCTCAACCTCCCGAAACAGAACAATTGATTACAGTGAGGACTCATCAGCTTATTGTTCCAATCTACGATTCGAATGCTAAAGAAGTATACTCAACTGGAGTTGAACCCGAAGTTCGAGATTGGCGTTTCCCCATTATCGACTACGTCCTACATGGTATATTGCCTGAAAATGTAAGAGAAAGGGAATCGATTCGGCGAAGAGCGCCGAGATTTTACTACAATGCCACAGCGCAAACGTTGTATCGATGATCGTATGATGGTCTTTTACTCCGCCGTCTATCCGGCAAAGAAGCAGAACAAGCGCTCAAAGAGGCGCATGATGGGATATGCGGTGCACATCAGCCCGGTCCTAAACTCTGTGATCGACTTAGGAGAATCGGGTATTATTGGCCAACTATGGTAAAAGACGCGGTTGAGTACGCACGGCAATGTGAAGTGTGTCAATTACATGCAAATTATATGCACATTCCGCCTGAGTATTTACACCCATCGGCGACATCATGGCCATTCGAAACTTGGGGAATGGATATAGTAGGTCCTATTTTCCCGCCTTCGGTTAAAGGGGACCGTTTTATTTTGGCAATCACCGATTATTTCTCGAAATGGGTAGAAGCAGTTCCACTTAGAGAAGTAAAGACGGCAGATGTTATCAAATTTATCAAACACCACATCATATATCGGTATGGTGTGCCAAGGCGAATAGTGCACGACATTATCAAATTTATCAAACACCACATCATATATCGGTATGGTGTGCCAAGGCGAATAGTGCACGACAACGGTCCTCAGTTCGTGAGCAACGCATTCATCAAGTTCTGCGGTAAATTCGGGATTTGCTTATAATCCTACAGCCAACGGATTGGCCGAAGCTTTTAACAAGACTATCATCAAAATTCTGGCAAAATTGGTGAAAACCAATAAACGAGATTGGGACGACAAACTCGGCGAAGCTCTGTGGGCTTATCGTACCACCGTCCGTACGCCAACCGGAACCACCCCGTATGCCTTAACATATGGGTGTGAAGCCGTCCTTCCATTGGAAATACAGATTCCTTCCCTCCGTATCGCTCTCGTAACGGGAATGACGACGGAAGAACATCATCAGAAACGTCTCGAGGAATTAGAGATGTTGGATGAGAAACGCTTGGAAGCTCAACAACAAATCGAGTTTTATCAAGCTAGAATTTCTCGGGCTTTCGATAAAAAGGTCCGACGATGAAGCTTTAAAGAAGGAGATTTAGTCCTTGCTGTTCGAAGACCTATGATTCTTACTTCCAAGAAGAAAGGCAAATTTGAACCTAAATGGGAAGGACCGTTCATGATAGAAACAGTCTACTCAAACGGTGCATATCGCCTGATTACTTAGGATGGCAACAAATTGATGATGCCAATAAATGGGAAGTTCCTGAAAAAGTATTATCCGTAATACGTTCAGGATAACCTATGTAAAACGGGAAATTCCTAGAAAATCCTATATAGGATATTTCAGGATAACCCGATATCAGTTGATTATTCTAAATGAAAACTGATTATGTGAATAGTCTGTTCTTAATTGTTATAAAAATAATTAAGATCCTCTTACTACTTTTAAGAACCTCTTACTACCTTTGTTGAGATGAGATTTAATGACAATTAATCTTTCCTCACAAAACCCTGGAATGTGATCATGGAAGATGAGATTCAACAATTCGTAACCTCACACCATGAAACCCGCGCCGGTCGGATTGATCAATGGTTATCAGTCTGTATCGGTCGATAGATTACTTCATGTTTGAAATCAAAATTTCCCACCGAGTAGTTTGTGCAAATCAACGAATTCATTGTTATTTGTACCCTACTCCAATTCCTCAATTGGTCAAACCTTTAAATAGTTAAGACCACAACCAAAATCCCCTCTCGATTCATTCCATGAACGAGAGGTCCACAAATTGAGCGATCAAACCTTCCTAGTGATCAAACCTTCATACAGTTAGGATCATATCAAAACCCCCAATTGGTCAAACCTTACTACAGTTAGGACCACAGACAAAATCTCCTTTCGATTCATTTTTTTGCGAACGAAAGGTTCACCTTTGAATTGAGTAATCAAACCTTATGACAGTTAGGGTTATTCAAACCAATCCAGATTCTCTAAGAAAAGATTCCACTTCGAGTTTCTTTTGTACCGGGAGATAGAATATAAAATTCTTCCTCTCCAATTTTGGGTTTATCTCTACCAACAAACAAGAGACCAGGAGATAGAATATAAAATTCTTCCTCTCCGATTTTGGGTTTATCTCTACCAACAAACAAGAGAACAGGAGATAGAATATAAAATTCTTCCTCTCCAATTTCGGGTTTATCTCTACCAACAAACAAGAGACTAGGAGATAGAATATAAAATTCTTCCTCTCCGATTCCGGGTTTATCTCTACCAACAAACAAGAGACCAGGAGATAAAATATAAAATTCTTCCTCTCCTATTATGGTTATTTATTCTAAACAAGAATGAGTAATCGTAATAAAACCTCAATGAGCAAAAAGATTCAATATAATGAGCAAAAAAGTTCACTATGTTGACCAAGAATTTTCAAACAAAGTTACAAAAATGTATGTTCTCCAATTACAAAAGTTTATACTGACTAATATGATTTTCAAGTTTTGACAGCTCTAACGCATAAGCTTGTTCAAGCTCAGCTGTCAGTTTAACTTTGAAGGCTTCTTCATTAACGTTCTGAAGTTCAGCAACCTCTTGTTCTTTCTCAGCAAGTCTCTTATCCTGAATATTCAGTCGCTGATACAGGTTTTCTTCAATTTGAGTTGTCTTCGTCAACTCAGATTCTAAAACTTCACGAGCATCCTTGGCTTTTGCAAGTTGTTTCTCTAGACGGTCCATTTCAGCTCGATTCGACTCTAAATCCCGTTGTAGATCGATTTTAACCTGTAGTCTCTTGGCGATATGCACCCTGAGTTGATGACTGTGGGCTTTTAGTTTTTGAAGTTCAGAGTTAGCAGATTGCTGAGAATCACGCCACGCACGCAACTTGAAGTCCATATGAGAAGCGATGTAGGAGGGTACACCTTTAGTGCGAAGATCCTCCAGAAGTTCAACGTGTTGCCTCAGCTCGATTAAATATGCACCAATTGAATCGGCTAAGTCGTTGTATCCTTCATCTCGGATACCCGACATATAACGATCAAACGGTTTCTTAAAATTCTCAAAATATGAACCTTTTAAGAGAATACGATCGACCATAAAATTCCAAAAAGAGACGAAACCATGAAGATCAGAGCAAATGGCGATTTTTTCCGGATCCTCGTCAGACAATAACTCTTGAATGCGGGCTGATAATGAGGTAGAAGAAGCTGCAACAAGGGTAAATAAGTCAGTACAAGATATATGTGTGCGTGCATAACAGCAATCTGAAGCATGTCAAGTTTAACAGAAGAACCTTCAGTATGACCCGGCGTGTCCACTGGGGGTAGTTTGGTCTCCTGAATAGTCAAAGCTGGCTCAGGAATAGTAACTTTTAATGCACCAACTATGTCAGAAGATTCTTTAATTTCAACCTCAGAAGATTCTGGGTGCAAACTAAGAGGCTCTTTAGGAGGAGATTCTACAAACAAAAGAGTTACAATGAGCATGGTGGAATGTTGATCGGGAATTCAAAAACAAATGATGAATAAAACTCACCAGCCCTGGGCACAACATCGGTTGACGTACCAACGTCTTCAGTTGGTCTCGCTTTTGTTGCGACCGGGCTAATCTGGGGAGTGACGGTGACTTCTATCGTCATGGGGTCTATGGGAGTAGAAGGTTGAGATTCAGGAATAGATGATTGGAGATTAACTTCAGTTCCTACCCACGGCACGAGGTCACGACCCTCCGGGTGTTCAGATGTTCCAACGATTATAGTAGTACCAGTTCCAGCAACTGGTCCTATAATTCGAACGTTTATATGATTAGTCAAGTCAAAATATATACGTATATATATATGTGGAGTTCACAGAACCAAAGTCTTACTCTCAGAAGGACCGGCTTCCGTTGAACCAATTCCAACATCTGAGCCGATAGTTGCATCAGAGGCTTTCTCTAACAAAGAATCAAGGATTTGCTGATGGTCGTCCTCTGAGATATTAAAGTCGAAATCATGAAAATCATCGACTTTGGTGGCATGGGTGGCTTCTCCTTCAGTAGGTTCATGCATCGTGGCATCTACGGAAGGTGTTAAGCCATAAATAACATGTAAATTTAGACGAATCTACCCAAGACAAAGATCGATTTTACCTTCATTGGTCGGGGCGGATTCGAGAGCTCCACTACTTGTACCTGCTTCTTTTAATTTGACTAAAAGAAGAGAAAGTGATTCGTCGAAACTTATAGAGAAGTTTTAGGAGCAAGCAAGTGTTTTTGTTTTCCATCAGATCGAGAGCTTGCGTCTAATTAGTAATTGGTAGTTAGCACGTCAGAACTGGTGACGGGTCGATGGTTGGGCCAATTCTTGCCATGTAGGCCCACTCGAAGCACCCGCGCTCATGGCCATCAGATTGGGCCAGCACGGGCTTACGAAAAGTTATGGCCATGAGTCGTGATGAAGCCTTGGACTTTCTCACAGAAAAAGTAGAGAGGCTTTTCCCGTCTAACAATCATCACGTGGGAGTACGAAATTTAATCCAAAAACGATAAATATGCATTAATTCGATCTCCAGCGAACTCTCTGGATTTATCATTTCAAGGAAACCACAGTTTACACACGAAAAATAAAAAGGAAAAAAGGAACAAAAAAATAATAAAAATAAAAAGGAGGGTAAAAAGCAAACTTTTCCAACTCTGTTTTCTTAATTTGATCGGGAAACAATTGGCCTTGGCCCAGTGGATCCGCCATAAGACTCTTTGGGTCGCATTGAGGAAGGTTAAATGGGGGCCCTGAATATATAACTTAACAAGTAGGGAGATCGCTGGGAGGAGGCAAGAGAGACTCATTGGGCCCTTTTCCATTCTCCACCAAAAACGCCATCTTGAGCCCCCATGTTGTGTGCACCTCCAAGTGACAGTGCATGAACCATACCCCTGCGAGCAAACCAAGCCAATGTTACGTATTAACGACGCTTCATGCCCACTAAGCAAATTCATCAGTTAATTACCAGCCAAATTAATCAACAGATTAATTAACTATCTATTCAACTTAATTAACACGTATACTCGCGTGTACGTATATATATATGTACGCCACTAGTTACCTGGGTTATCCGCCCTGAATCTTATGGCAACCCATCCCCCAGAGGGAACCCCGATCGTGTTCCTCTCAACCGGATCAACGAGGTTGAACTTCTTCGGGTCCTTCTTCGGGTTGTAATTCCCTATCCCCTTCCCGACCGCGAAGAAATTGAATCCGTGGAGATGAATCGGGTGAGTCTCCGGCGCAATAATCCCCGTATCCTGAAGCACCAGCTGCACCGTCGAGTTGTACGCAAGCTTGTACAACCTCGTCCCGTTCATCGTCTGCATGTTCGTCGTCCCGTTCCCGCTGAAATCGAACATGACCGGAGGGTTCGCGGGGAAGTCGGTGGTGAAAACCCCGCCTACGTTGAAGTAATGCGCTTGAAGCAGGGCGGTCTTCGGCATCACGAAGGTCACATTGTTAATATCCGCCACCACTCGGCTTCCGTTGACACAGGTAGCGCAGGGCCGAGCCCTACTGTAAACATGAGATGGTGGTCGATCTTCAGCGGTACTTTCGCGGGGTATTGCTTCGAGTTGAGACTGCGGAGGGAGTCCACGAAGCTCATCGCGACCGGGGTGGCGTTACGTGGCGGGGGTTTGGTCATGGTGATGGCGGAGGTGGAGAGGGTGTTGGCGTAGTGCACGGTGGCGGTCGCGGTGTTGTTGTCGACGGCGATGACGAGCGTGTCCAAGAAAGGGGACGCCTGACTAGGTATCGTCCCGCCGCTTGTCGGCGTGTGAGAGAGGAGTTTGTGGTCTGGCCGGCGGGCGACTAGGATGGTGTCGGTCTTGAAGGCGTTTGGTGTAGAGCAGCGTCGACTCGGGACACGGTTAGTTGGTGGCCGGACGACTCTTGAAGAAGAGTTCTTCATTGAGAGCAGCGTTGATAATCCGGAGGAGGTAAGTCTTGCCGTTTTCTACTTGGAGCTTGTACCCATCTGCCGTGCACACCAACAAAATCAAAATGTTTCGTTAGTATATACGTCGCGATCCTGATCCATGATCTGCGCTAGCTAGCTAGCTCGGCCATGCATTTGATCGATGATTAATTAATTAAATAAATGATGAGTAAATATACATACACACACACACAAACCTTGAGAAGAGGCGCAAGTAGACAAGGGGCCAGGGTGGCCGTTGATGGTGTGAGCATCCGAAACATTAGGTGCTTGCCCAGACTTGAGAGCCTCATTGATCACTGCTTCCGTATCCGATTTCCACCATTCTCCTGCACACGTTACCATACATACATGTACATACATACACATATATACATACATACGGGTCCTCGTCAATATTAAGAAATTAAATAAATATATATATATATAGAAAGCTGGGAGAATTAATGTACATGTACATATTCGATCTGATCGTTCATATATATTAATTACCTAAGATGATAATCTGCTCCTGATGAGGAGCAGGGAAAGGATAGGGAACGTGGAGCTTGGGCTTGATGACAATGGCGCCGTGGACGGTGGACCTGAGCCAAAGAATGTGGGCGTGCCAAAAAAGGGTGCCCCTTTGGCCGGTGATGGTGAAGTTGTAGACGTAGCTGTTGCCCGGTCTGATGGGGCACTGCGTTATGTAGGCTGGCATCCGCCCAGCCTGTTCGAATTTGTCTAACTCCATGCCTAAATTCAATTCACACCATAAAGAAACATATATACACGTATTCTTAATTAATTTATTACTAAAAAAAACAATATTATTGTGACTTACCAGTGAATGCTAACATTGTATTTGACATGGTTGACGACCTTGACCAGCACATTGTCTCCTTCTCGCGCATACAACGTTGGGCCTGGGAACTTGCCATTCACCGTCACGATTGGTTTGCTAGAGCATAGTCTGGTGGCGTTCCTCATCACCACCTGCATTTTTTTATTACAAGATTAACGGAAGTTTATTTAGCAATTCAGACGTATACGTACACTCACATTATACCATGATATAATTTTACTTTATTCCCTTTAATTTCAAGGGGGCACGCAGGAGAGTTACGTATACATTAATCCTATGATATATATATGGTCGTCTAGTACTTTTACATTTGAATTAAGTCACAAGCAATATATCCACTTGATTAATGAGCGGTGCAATGAAAAAGTGGCTCGATCCATTGTGCAAGTATAGGCATGTAATTAGCTTCAGCGCAAAACGTACAACGCGCAGTCTGGAAATATATATATGGCCTTTCTTTGGATGGGCCAAAACATGGACTCACACGACAGTATTTAATTTTTTTTTTATTGCTAACATTCCTCTTTAAAATATCCAAAATTAATATAGTGAATTTTGAGGGCTATACTTTTATTTTGCAAGAAAATTAGAATTGTAAGCAACTAAATATATACTTGCAACATCGTATGTGCATATATTGAAGATGCGCATCCATGTAAGCAGAATATGTAACTGAAACAAGTAGTACAGCACATGACTATGAGTAGGCACTTACATTGAACTTGTAATGCCGGGTCATTCCATTGACAATCACCGGGAAGAAACAAAGCATCAGCAGTATTTTTGCGGCACGACTCGATGAGCACTCCATTCTTTCTCTCCTCTCTCGATCTTGCGTCTAATTCTTCTTCTCTGTTAACAACTGAGCAATGACGTACGAAGAAGAGATTGAGAGAGGGATTGAATGAAGGCAATGACTGGCTAAGGCATCCTTTAAAAAGAGAAATGGAGACATATGGGATTATAGATGCGGCGTCATTTTTGAGATTAGGTGGAAGGGAAGAGGGGGGGTTGGGCCTTTTGTGAGCCTTGATCAACAAGGATTTGGTAGAGATTTAACCACATACCACCCTCAAAGGATGACTTGCTTAGTTTCCACATAAAGTAGTCCTCCGTAAACAAATTAACTATTTTTCATTTTCTGCTTAATATATTTCCATATCACGTCTAGCTCTGGCACCGGCTATACTTCTTGTGGGTTCCCAGTCATCGCTCTCGTTTTTGGTTAAAAAAGATTGTTCGGTGGAGACAAAACACACACATTTCATTCATGCCACTCAATCATCTTATCCTCTAATTAATTCTTTCTTTCTTGCAGTTAATTCCCTATATTAGATAGAGTGATGGATTTTACCAATCAAACAGGTAATGAGAAAATTGATTCGACTACCTTCTTGATTTGTAAATCATTTCCTTGCTAACAATTTAACACGCACGAACTTTCTAACCAGTTTAGTAAATTTGACAAGCCCTCCATTAATTATGTGCCTTTGAATAAGTTTCAAGTCACCACTTGGCATTCCTTGTAAATATATTTTACTAGATAATTAATACTTTAGAGAAATCTATCTATATCGATCTATACTACATATAAAAGAGGATTGCCTCGTCATAACTTTTGAATTCCATTTTTGCGCTTTTAAGTTTGATAATTTGTTGTGCGCAGCGGAAATTTCGGCAGAGTTTCTGGTGCACAATAAGAGAGAAAGATCGATAAGAATTCTTGTTTCTCAAAGGGAACAAGAATCTGAAAGCCTAATATCCCATCAAAGTGGGATATTTGCTCTTCCTCTCGTCAGCTCTAGGACTGCGCGTCGAGGGATCCTAAAAACTATTACAATGGCCACAAACTCAAACAACTAATTTTACGTGGTTCGGCAAACTGCCTACGTCCACGGGGCAAGAAGGGGGAGATCTACTATTAGAGAGGAGATAATACAACTAGAGTTTATAATCACTCAATCTAAACCCTCACACAATTATCTCTCTCAAAATCAGCACAAGAAACTGCACAAAACTTTCTCAAAAGACCGCTTGAGAACCTTCTGTGTTTCACCTCACGCAGCCGCCAAAATCTCACACAGCCGCTCAAAAAAAACCTCTGTGTTCTCTCTCTGCCTGCGCCCTTCCTTTTTGTACCTCTGCCTGTGCCGCACAAATTTTCTCCAGCACCCCCCCTCAATCTTGCACACGGAAACCCTAGGAACACTAGGGTATTTATATTGTACAATGGTCTTTCGGGTGGGCCTGCGATTTATCCGATGGACTAACCACTTCTTTTGTTCACAGCTATTATCACTTCACGCGTTTTTCTTCTCTTGTGGCCCCCACTAACAATTCTCCACCTCGGTGAAGTTTTCCCAAAACTGAGCCGACACCAACCAAATGTCTCACTTGTTGTGTCCAGTACACCGTGAAACAATTCACGACAACAGACTCAATCCATAACAAGTCGAGAACCCAAATGAGAATGCAAACACTCTTCAAATGTCGGTATCAACTCACCAAATCGATCTCACCCCCATCAAAATCCAACCCGGCTGCATCATAATGACTGCCTACGTATCCTCTTGCCCAAGGAATCAAGCCGAACGTAGTTCACCAAAATGGCCTCCAAAGGCCTCAATCCAATAGAAGAGTTCGCAACCCTTCTCCAATATCTACTCTGCGGCTGATAGCACCTCCAATGGCCTCAAACACCTCCACCTGAGGTGAACCAATGGTCATATTCAAACTACATCTATCATGTGCACTCGAGTCAAAACCCAACTCATCATCTGCATCCGAATCCAAATGACTTCCACGCTGTGTCACCTCAGCTGGAATCCCAACCAATGCAAAATGATCTGGAGTAATCTTTACCCAATGTGGAGTAGCATCACTCTCCACCCGCTGCGATACCTCTAAGGTCTGTCTAAAACTCTCCACCTGCTGAGAGTCAATTGGCTTCCTCATCGAAGCCTCAACTAAAGTGACACTACCAGACCTATCTTCCAATGGAGTTTTACCTCCAATCACAGCAGTTGACAACCCTTTAATAGGATGACCCAAATATGTCGAAGCCTCTGTCCAGAAACTCTTCTGTAAATCAATACTCGACCACAAACACCGATCCTCCTCCAGCAAGGCACGGTTCTCCAAATTTTTCACCTTATCTAGTTGCCCCAAGATTTCCTTTCCAACGAAGTGTCTCGAAATGCCGTGAGCTCGGCTCCAATACAGAAACAGATCCATCTTGTACCTCCCGCCAGAATGGAGTACCTTCACCTTTCTGTCTATTACACACTTCTTCAATTTGTTGGATACTACTAGGACTTTCTCCAAAGGGGATTTGGTTGCAACCCAAACACGCCTAGAACAGTCACCAACAAAGGAAATCAAACTTCTATTACCTTCCAATGATGCCCCCTTGGAAGGCCCCCAAACATCCACGTGAACTCCTCCAGAACGACCCTTAGCACGGTGAATAGAGGTGCCACACTTCACCTCGGTCTTCTTGCTCACATCAACATGTTCACTGGACTTCAAACTGCAGGTCTTTGCACCCTCTTTCAATCTATGCGAGGAATCAATACTCGAATAGACAAGCCCCAAATGCCGCAGTCTAGTCGAATCAACAGAAGTCGTCAGCTCTCCACCTGCCACTATACCTCCAGTCAAGTAATACAGGTTATTTCTCCTGACGCCCTTCATCAAAATACGAGAGTCTCTCGCAATCTCGAGAACCATGTCCTCAACACGAACCTTCAGACCCTCTCCAACCAAAGCTCCAATCGAGATCAAGTTCTTCTTCAAAGAAGGAACATATCTCACATCGTTTAACTCTCTAACAGTCACGTCAAACATCTTTATGTGAATTCTTCATATCCCAAGGATCTGGCATACACGGTTATCAGCCATGTACACCATACCACTATCCACCAGCTTCTCAAAACTAGAGAACCATTCCCTTCTAGGGCACACATGATAGGTCGCACCACTATCCAACATCCATTCAGATTCCTCCGAATAGCTATCTGTAGGACTGATAGAAAGCGAATAAATAGAAGAGTCAAAATTATTACCATCCGATACGATATTTGCTTCTGATGATGGCTGCTTCCCTTTTCCCTTCTGCTTATTCTTCATCCATTCGTCGAGCTTTGGGCAGTCTTTCTTCCAATGACCAGTCTCCTTGCACCAAGCACACTGATCTTTTCCTACTCTAGACTGTGACTTCCAATTCTTTCGGTTTGGACCCTTCCCTCTTGCGACCAACGCCTCCGCTACCGGCTCAACTGAAGCCTCCTTATCCTTCTTTCAAAGCTGATAATTCACAAGTGCAGCAGTGACCTCACTATACGAAAGTGATGCCTTCCCATTAATCAGAGTAAGAACGAAGGTCTCATATTCCTCGTCGGGCAAGGAACTCAACAACAGCAACGCCTTGTCCTCATCTTCAATCTTGACATCCACATTCGCCAAATCCGCAAGAAGCTTTGTGTAGTGGTTCATGTGATCTCTAATGGAGGTTCCCTTCTTCAACTGGAAACGATAAAGTCTCCTCTTCAAATGCAAGCGATTTTCCACACTCTTGGTCAAATACTTGCTTTCGAGAATCTCCCAAATCTTCTTCGCAGAAGTCTCATTCATCACATCATATTTTAGATCTTGAGTCAAACAAGACCTAATCACACCACACGCCGTTCGATTCATCTTCTTCCAAACCTTCTCTTCAATCTCATCTGGCTTGCCATCTAACTCCAATGTATCCTCCAAATTCTGCGCGTTCAGCGCATCCAAAACCTCGCATCTCCATAATCCAAAGTTGTTTGTGCCATTAAATTTCTCCACATCTATCTTCATAGAGTGGATATTCAAACTCTGAATAGTCTTCACGCCAGAAGAACCACCCTCGACTCCCGAAGCACCTTCTTTCCCCGACATCTTACGCACCAACGAACAAAGAATAGATCCAAAACTGAAAGATAGAGTCTTTACCAAAAGATCCCACCTTTATCACCAACGAAGTCCTAAACGGGCCTCCAAATTGATCTACTCCTCTAACCAAACCCTAGATCTGGAATCTGGGCTCTGATACCACTTGTTGTGCGCAGCGGAAATTTCGGCAGAGTTTCTGGTGCACAATAAGAGAGAAAGATCGATAAGAATTCTTGTTTCTCAAAGGGAACAAGAATCTGAAAGCCTAATATCCCATCAAAGTGGGATATTTGCTCTTCCTCTCGTCAGCTCTAGGACTACGCGTCGAGGGATCCTAAAAACTATTACAATGGCCACAAACTCAAACAACTAATTTTACGTGGTTCGGCAAACTGCCTACGTCCACGGGACAAGAAGGGGGAGATCTACTATTAGAAAGGAGATAATACAACTAGAGTTTACAATCACTCAATCTAAACCCTCACACAATTATCTCTCTTAAAATCAGCACAAGAAACTGCACAAAACTCTCTCAAAAGACCGCTTGAGAACCTTCTGTGTTTCACCTCACGCAGCCACCAAAATCTCACACAGCCACTCAAAAAAAACCTCTGTGTTCTCTCTCTGCCTGCGCCCTTCCTTTTTGTACCTCTGCCTGTGCCGCACAAATTTTCTCCAGCACCCCCCCTCAATCTTGCACACGGAAACCCTAGGAACACTAGGGTATTTATATTGTACAATGGTCTTTCGGGTGGGCCTGCGATTTATCCGATGGACTAACCACTTCTTTTGTTCACAGCTATTATCACTTCACGCGTTTTTCTTCTCTTGTGGCCCCCACTAACATAATTCTCATATATGTCATTAGTTGTAATTAATTATTCACCAATTATATATGACTTCTTATTAATTATGCATTTCCTTAATTTTTCAAAATCTTAATTTGATCACACTATTATTTTATTATTTAATTGTATTATTTAATAGAAAATTTGAAATTT